AGGCTCTGTCTCAAAAAAAAAAAAAGAAAGAAAGAAAGATGACGTTGTGCTTGAAAGGCAAAAAAAGGAAGTGGGACTAAAGCTACTATCAATAATGTGGATAAGTCTTAACAATATAATGATGTATAGAAAATAAAACAAGGTAAGAATAGAGTATTACATAGGCTGTGAATTATTTCATAAAGCTTATATGGTTTAGAGATACATATTCATAATAAAACCCTTTTAAAGCAAGTGAATAAGAGATGCAGATTAGGCAAATTATTAGCTTTTAGGGGATATGGAGGGTATTGTAAGAGAACACAAGTAGATTCAACATTATTCATAATCTAGTTCTTAAACTGAGCGGTTGATTCATAGATGTTAACTTTGTAACTTATGTTTCATATCCTCTTAAATGTTTAAAAAGTTTTATAAAGAAAAAACAAAGGAAGGGAAGGGAAATTGGCAATTTATATTATACCAACGACTATACAGTAAAGATAATCAATTCTTGAAATTGAAATTTTTGAATGAATTTAAAGATTCATTCGATATATATATATATATACACACACACACACACACACAGAGACACACACATATCTAAATTAACAATGTAGTGCAGTCAGACTACTACAAAATTTGCTTCAGAAAGCTTCCAAAACAACTTATTGTGGGGCCAAATTCTTCAGTAGAAGACCAGAGAAGATTAGGTTGAAGGAGGGGCTTTAAGCCACATGAAGGAGGTTCAGTAAATGCTAACAAATGCTTTTTATTAAAAAGAAAGATGTATTTCCATTTCATACTTTTTAATTTATATATGCAGAAATGTTCTAATAAATTTGATGCTATTTCTTATCTATTTAAAAAATATAACCTTATTTTTCTGAATTGCAGGATCATCTTTGGAGAAGAGACAGCCAAGATCTAAAATGGTAAACCAAGAAGTTTGTGTTCAAACATACCTTCAAAATTATTTTTCTTGTCACCTAAAAGTAATTCATCATTTCATTATTTTATCCTTATTATCAGTTTTGCGTAACTGTTCCTGCTTTTGCATACTTCCTCCCCACTTCTGTTATATGTTTAATCATGTTGGATATGTTTTAAGTCTGTTTCATTCTATGGTTTTAGGTATTTTTGCTCATTTTCTTTAATATATATCAGGCCTCTCAGATATTTTATGGTAGGGATAAAAAGGTGATAAAGAAGATAATTGTAATGGTAAGGTAAAATCCAATCATTAAAAAATATTAATCAGAAATTATTTCTACAAATATAATATTTTATGTATGTCTTGTCACAGAGCCAATTTTATATCAAATAGCTTGTATTTTTCATATGTCAAATATTGATCTAACAATATTCAGGCATTTTTCTCTCAAAGACATCCGATAAAAGTATCACCAAAAAGGTCGACAAGACAGTTCCAGATGAGAGAACTAAACTTCCACGAAGAGCAGCAAAAACCAAAAAAAATTACAAAGATCTCTCAAATTCAGAATCAGAGAGTGAACAAGAATTTTCACATTCAGTTAAAAAGAAATTGCTAGTAAAGGTAAATAGATAAAATTCAGATTAATATTTTCTAAAAGCAACTTAAAATACTAAATATATATTTTTGTAAAATTGTCATATTTATCTTGTCACTTTTTTAAATTTGACACATGTGAAAATTTACATAATAACTCTAGAAATTGGTCATTAAGTATTACAGTGCTACATTGTAGATTAAGGCTTTAATGTTATAAAACACATAAAACACATGTCTGACTCTAGTAAAATTATAACCTTAAGATAGTATCTTTGAAATAGAGAAGTACTTGATCATTCCAAAATTATGTTTCAATGCTCTGTTGGGAGACTGTGTATCTTCTCTTTAATGAAGACAAAAATAGAGGCATCTGAGGATCTTTCTAAACACTGCCCCACTTTTGCCTATCTTATGTCTCATTATGTTTAGACATGTTCCCAGCCACCTAGGAAGTACTTGAAAGCCTTTTTAACAAACACACACACACAAGAATATAGTGTTTACAACGTGCTAATGTGCCAGCTGTTTTATTTTAAGTGCCTTACAGATTTAACTTAAAATCTTTTCAGCATTAAAGGTAATTAGTACTATTACGATCATTCTGTTTTACAAATGAGGAAATTGAGACTCAGAGAAAAAGAACTTGCCCAAGGTCAGTCACACAGCTAGAAAGTAGTAGAGCTAAGATTTGAACTTAAAGAGTCTTGCGGCTCGGCGCCTATAGCTCAGCCGGCTAAGGCGCCAGCCACGTACACCTAAGGTGGCGGGTTCGAATCCCCAGCCCGGACCCGCCAAACAACAACGATGGCTGCAACCAAAAAATA